TATTATTAACATTATTGTTATACATATATATTAGTAACATTAATATTATACATACTTTTTGTTTTTCGATTAATTTCTTCACACCATTCTGTTGATTTCTTACGAGCGGGGCTTGTCAGCAGCTCAATAACAAATCACATTTGGCATTTCGATGACTGACAAATACGCGACGCCCCACCCATTTTGGCAAAGTTGTACCGTACGATTTTTCATCAGTAAAAGAACAATAACAATAAATAATAATAAACAATAATAAATAATAATAATAAATAATAACCAGTATTAATAAACGCCACAGGCATGGCCACCACCCCTCCACCTACCAGATCAGCCACTATAAAAAAGGCTGTCGTCGCCCATCCCAAACCCCGTCCGCTCTCCTTTGAAAACAACGGCTGTTCGCTCGTATCATCCTGTCAAAATATTTTTTATTATTATTATATTTATTATTATTTNAACCCCGTCCGCTCTCCTTTGAAAACAACGGCTGTTCGCTCGTATCATCCTGTCAAAATATTTTTTATTATTATTATATTTATTATTTATTATTATTTCTTATTATTATATTTATTATTATTAATTATTATTAATTATTATTGTATAATAATAAATACCTCATCCTTTGCAGCTGAATAATCTCCGAGTTTATCAACGTCCAGCTCAACGAGATTATTATTTATTTTTATTTTTTCATATCCGCCCTCAGTCTCTATATTATCAACACTATTATCCGAGCCGGTCGTTTCATTAGTGATGGTACTGCTTTGTGACATTTTAGATTACTTAAATTTATTATTATTATTTTTATTATTATTATATTTATTGTTTTTATTATTATATTTATTGTTATTGTTATTATTATTGTTATTATTATATTGTATATAATAATATACTAGTAGTATTACTTTAATTTTATTTTGAAGTATTATTATTGGTGGTTTCATTAAGGTTCCATATTAATAATATACTATTATTATTATAATTTTAAAATATAATTATTTTAAATTTTCCTTATTATTATTATTATTGCAAATTATTTCTATCATTTATCAGGAGCTGACGGTTAGTAAGGTTGGGGGAGAGGGGGGGGGTCATTTGGAAATATTCCTTCAAAAATCACTTATTTAACGCGGATTCAATTTCAGTACACGGGTTTAGGGTACCACAAAGTCACTACATTACAGTACCAAAACGTGCACGAGCAATTAAAGCACACAACACACAAAATAATAAGCAGAACACTAAAATAAATAGCTACTAACATTTCAATAGCTACTAATCGCTTATAATACGCATTTAGCGATTAAACATTATCACTGCAGTATTCACTGATAAGACTGATAACGACTGATAAGACTGATAACATCACCGATCACCAATAAAAATGCTAAATATATTAATGTGATCAATCCAATGATTGATATTTTTAAAAAATTAAAAATTAAAAAATTCGCTTCACCTGCATAAATGCTAATGATTATGAACTGTAAAAAAACTGAAAACCTTTGAACTGGGCGTTGGAAACATCCATTATTACTCTTTTATTAGACTTATCTATAATTATTGTATATTATTATTATATATTATTATATATTATTATTGTATATTATTAATATACATAATGATATTNAAAATTCGCTTCACCTGCATAAATGCTAATGATTATGAACTGTAAAAAAACTGAAAACCTTTGAACTGGGCGTTGGAAACATCCATTATTACTGCTTTATTAGTCTTATCTATTATTATTATATATTATTATTATATATTATTATATATTATTATTGTATATTATTAATATACATAATGATATTTCAAGCTTATCAGTGATACGATGGAATTTGTGGTGTGTTAAGAGCGATTTTTAATTTTTGATTGAGACACTCTATCACAGAACATTTTATTACTGATTTGATTAATAAGTACCATTTTTAATGATTATTATATACGATGACGTATATAATGTTTATTATTATATGAAATGTAGAACGTATACAATATTTATTATTATATATAATAATATTAATAATAATAATAATAATAATAATAATGACAATAATAATAATAATATAAAAATCCAAAAATTGCCCAAATTATTGAATTTAAATTGAACGAAATCGATAATTAAATGCAGTGTTTCATTTTTAAATTAGTTTCAGAACATTATTAATGTTATTATTATTATTTATTACATTGTTATTGTTTTTAGTATTTTTATTCATTAAACATAATTATATTAATAAAGTTTCATATATATAAAGATTATCTAAAAAACTTAATAATAGTAAATGTAATAATAATAAATAATAACAATAATACTAAATAATACCTTTAACATCAAACATATCACTAATAGAATGAAATTTTTAAACATTTTATCGCACATTTTCACGAAGTTACAATTTCATAATAATAATAATAATAAATAATATAAATAATAAATAATAAAAATAATAATAAATAATAAAACTAATAATAAAAATACAATCAAACTACAATAATAATAACAATAATCAAAACAATAAAATACAAATAAAGCAGTTAACCCTTATCTCCAAACATTCCCACACATTAAACTGATCAAAATTCTTTGCTTTTTATTATCAGCCAAAATTTATCACTAAATTACTTTATTATCGTTTGATTATTGCAATAAAATTCGATTGATATCATTTGATCAATTTTATATTTGATCAGTTATCGATTTCAAAATTTAATTGTTATATTCTCAATCTAATTAAATATTTATTATATTTAATATTTATTATTTTATATAATATATAATAATATATAATTGTATTCTGTTTTGGGGAAGGATAGCGAATAGAGAGAATAGAATAGAAGCAAGCTCATGAAGTATTCCCAGATCCTCCAGTGGATCAAGCTTTGGATGATCAGGGTTTGGTAAACTTCCACCTGGACTGGTAAATTTTTTACCAGTCTGGTAATTTTTGGCCCAGACGGGTAGGTACTATCCCAGCCGGGTGATTTTTGGCCTGGCACAAGCTATCGTTCAAGACAGATCTCGCTGAAATCTGTTGCTCATGTTACTAAAAATATTCATTTATTAGCGCATTTTTTGGCTCTGTTAAGCATAAAAATCGATTTTTGGAATTCAGGTCATCCGTTTATCAACCTGAAATTGGAATTTTTTGGAAATTTCAGCCCATTTTTTTGAAAAAATTACGGGATTACCCAGTCTTGAATTGAGAATAGGAAGCATCCGCAAGAATTTGAAGCTGTTAAAACAAATTGAACTCTTGACACGAAACTTTTGATTACGGTATTGCACTGAACTATCTTAAGTGATGAATTGAGTGCGAATTATTGCGAGTGCACCCCAGTTGTAAGTGCACATCAAATTTTCCGCATTTTTTCGTTGCAGACGGGTTTTCCGATTGCGGACGGATAGTTTTTGAATTATTTCTGGTCACAAGCCTCGTGCGCGTAACCTGAAATTGACCTGGAATCGAAATTCCGNAAGCTTTGGATGATCAGGGTTTGGTAAACTTCCACCTGATCGGGTAAATTTTTTACCAGTCTGGTAAAATTTGTCCCAAATCGGTAGATCCTATCCCAGCCGGGTGATTTTTGGCCTGGCACAAGCTATCGCTCAAGACAGATCCCGCTGAATTCTGCTCCTCATTAGCTAAAAATATTCATTTATTAGCGCATTTTTTAGCTTTGCGATGCNGGGGGGGGTAAATCAGTTCTCAAATGGTATCTAAAAGCGTGCGCTTCAGCACTGAGTCTGTAATTTAAAAATTGATTTCAGGTTGGGTTAAAAAATTCAAAAATTCGGTAAGCTAGCAGTAGGCTGAAGATTCGTCCAGAAATTTAGGGATGTGCATGTGGCATAGAGGGACGGACATTGGGTTGAGGTTTGGCATAGGGTCTCAGTCGCTGATTTCATAACGCTTTTATTTCGTATTTAATAATTTGCATTCTATTATTATTATTGTATTATTTATTAATAACATAATATGTATAATTATTATTAATTATAGTAATTACTGATGTTTTTATTAATATTATTGATGTTAATTATTATTATTCGTATCACAATCGATTACCATTATCGACAAATAATAATATTGATTACTACTGCAGTTGAAATAGTTATTTTTATTGCTTGTGTTATTATTATTTATATTATTATTGTTATTATTTAATATTGTAAATATTGTCATCTTATTCATTGTTAGTTTTTGATGAGCAGCGGTGCGGTCGTATATTATTGTTGACTTAGAATTA